AAGAAGGATGAGAGATACAGACTTGAAATTTTACAGGTATATGTAAAAACAGTAGCTGAACAAATGTTATTAAGAGAAAAAAGGTTGTTAACTTAATAAAATTTCCGTAAATTGAGAAAAATGTAAAAATTATTGTGATTAAATTTTGTGTACAGATGATGAGCAGAAAGAGATCACCTCCATTACATCTCACTCTTATTATTATTTTAATAATAATAATAATATTTTAATATTATTATAACTATTATTTATTATTAATATTATTTATTATTTATATTATTATTACCATTATTTTATTACTTTTATTTTATTTTTACTTGATTCATTTTAATTTATTTTATTAGAAAATATGAAGACAAAGGAGTAGTTTTAACTATATAGTAAAAATGAAAAGCTGCTATATATATGAAAATTTATCCAAACAAATATCTTAAAAAGTGTATTGGAGATTCAGGATTACCATAGTGATAAAATTTCTGATACTGATATCAAGAAAGCCATTAGAGAGCAGAGAGACAAAGATCAGAATAATGAAAATAATCACAATGACCAAGTGGTCAAAGTGCTAGATAAACCCTAACAATTCTGGAAGATAAGATCTAAACCTATACAAATATTGATATAACGTTTATCTCTGAGTAATTATTTTTGATCTCAGACTAATTTTATATATAGTGTAATAACATAAGTACTGTCAAGGGAAATGAGACTTCAGGCTTCAATTTTATTATTGTTATTATTGCTGATATTGCATATATATATTATATCAGAGTTGAAAAATAGACCAATTTGACTAATTTGAATAATTTTTTAGCTATTATTAAAATTTAATATTAATATAATTAAAAATTTTAATAATATATTAAAATATTGGTCAAATTGGTCAAATTAGTCTATTTACCAACTCTGTATATATTGCTGATAGCTAATCTAATAAATAATAAAAATGAAAGCTCAAAGTCTTTTTTTTCTTTGGCAACCCCCATATATATAATTTTTTTCTTTAGCAATACTTGTATATGTATATATAATTATTTAAAAAAGAATTTTTTATTAATTGACTTATAGTTAAAAAATATTTTATTGTCAGTGGAAAAGATATCTATTATTTAAAAGAAATATATAAGATATTGGTGAGTAAATGCTTCAGGGTTAGTAGATCATCACACCACTCTAACCTCAGATACACCAGATTAGATGCTATCCAGATCATATCTTAACTTTTTTTTTTTTTTGGTATTAAGGTGAGGCCTTGCTCATATCTTTATTAATAACTTTAAAAATAGTAACTACATTAA